AAAAAAAAAAAAAGGGTGGATATTCTCTTCTAAGTAGATAGGATAAGCAAAATATTAGTTGAGGCCAACGAAAATTTACTTTATGTAGAAAACATCCAAGTATCTAATATGTGTAGACTACTCTGATAGGTGGGTGGGGCGGGGGGGCAAATCTGAGTCTTACCTTTGAAGGTTTGTATAATCTAATAGGGGATATTTACAGAGTTATAATGTTTTATTATAGCACAAGACAGAAAATGGCAAGTGACTTAATAAAAGTTCAGCAAGTGTTCTTTGAGAATTCAGAAAAAGGAGAGAGCCCATCCAGTGGCACGAATGGAAAAGTGTCTAGGGAGTAGTTAACCATTGAGGAAGTCTTTAAAATTATGCTTATGAAGTTTAGAAGTAGAAAGATAGTAGAGATTTGAGGTCATCTCTGATAAGGGGAATTTTTATTTAACAGATAATAAAACCATGGAGTGAAGCAACCCATGTGAGAAGTAGCAAACATTGGGAAATAAAGTTGAAAAAGTAGGTTATGACCAGTCTGGAGAAGGTTTTTAATGCCTGGCTACAGGTTGAGGACTTTATCTTTTATAGTGATTCCTTGCATGTTGAGATCAAATACCATGAGAAGTGTTCAATGGATAGTGGTTAAAAACATGAGTTCTGGGAAAAGAATGCCTTGATTTGAAGCCAGTTCTCCCTCTTACTGGCAAGGTGAAATCAAGAGGCAAAAGACTTGTGACCCAACTGTCATTTACTGTTTCGTGCTTTAAACATTTCCCAAGCATCTTCTCTGTGAAGCCACCGTAAGAGTGTCTGGGGCACCCAGATGCAGATACTCTGCCTTCAAAGGACTCATGGATTTCTAGAAAGGACAGGAGAGACACATGCAATGGATTTTAGTTCAAAACCAGCACTGTGTTGGGTCTGACTAAGGCACTATGTGAGCATGGAAGATAGGACTCTGTCTACCTGAAGATAAAAGGAAGGTTATATAGCCGTGTTTTCCCATCAGGAAGGGGTGACCCAAGAGAGATGGATAAAGCTTTCCCCTGCTTTCTATCAGAATTTTACCTTAGGCCGATTCTGGGTTGTAAATAGCATTGCCAAGCACCACCCTAAAAGAATCTCTCTGCCTTGCCGTACTGTCCCCAGATCTGACACAACTCATTACCGACTGTCTTTCTCCATTACTTTGCCTATTTAATGCTAGAATTTTAATAAAAACTATAGCTGATTTTCTGAAGGTAATTAAGTGTTTTCATTTCAAAGATCTCCCACTAGACTACAAGTCACACCAGGGTGAGAAAGAAAATAAAATGTAAGTGAATAGTGTCAACGTGTCAATGGAGTAAGCTCCTTTGTGGTCACTTTGCTTTTCTTCCATGACTTTTTTTGTTGGTGTGCTTGTTTGTTTTAATTTTTTTATTTTAAAGATGTGGAGTACAATTCAGGATTTGGTATACAAGTATTTGTTTGTTAAGTAGAATAATTCATGAATGTGTTGTTATTGTTTCTTTATGGAGCCCCTCATCACTCTCAACAGGTTTTTTTTATATTTAATTATAATTATTATAGGCTTAAAAGCATTGGGAAGGGTTCCAAAAGATCACCTCACAGATTACTTAAGTACAAAGGAAACAGGTTCCTTTGCAATGGAGAAGCCTTCTAGAAACCATTTTAATATAAGTTATAAGATTTAGCATCCTAATAATAGGTCAAACTGACAAGTGCTAACTGATATGGTGTAGGGAGCACACAATATCATCTATGCAATAGTCTTGCTAAAATATCTACCCTCAATCCAACCATTAGGAAATTTAAAATTCCAAATGATGGAACATTCTTCAAGACAACTGTCCTGAATTCTTCAAAATTGTCAGTATTATAAAACATTATTCTAGATTAAAGGAGGTTAAAGAGACATGGCATTCAAATGTAAGGCAGGAGTCTTGACTGAATTCTGGATTTAAAAAACAGCTATAAGAGATTTGGAGCAAAGTTAGAGAAATTGTAATAGAAACTAAATATTAGATAATACATGAGTGTTTATTTTTGATTATGTTAATGACATTGTGATTATGTAGGAAAATATTCTTGTTTTTAAGAGTTACGTGTTGAAACATAGAGTGAGATATGATGATATCTACAGCTTTGAAACAGATAAATAGCTAGATGATAGATAGAAAGATAGGTAGGTAGATAGATAGATGATAGATAAATGATTGATAGATGGATGTAGATAAATAGAGATAGCAATAAATGTAGGGAGGGATCTTGAGAATCCTTCCTTGGGTAGGTGAAGTAGAGCACACGACGCATCTACATTTTCTAAACTTGACT